GTGTGTAGACGCCAGAAGTTAACATTGGATGGTTTCCTCTATGTTATCCACCTTTTTATATTATTGTTATTATTTGTTTTTTTGAGACAGGTTCCTCTGTGTAACATTCCTAACTTTCCTGGAACTTGCTCTGTAGACCAGGCTGGCCTTGAATTCACAGATAGCGTCCTGCCTCTGCCACCTGAGTGATGTGATTAAAGGCGTGCGCCACCAACGCTCAGCTATTATTATTGAGACAGGCTCTGTCGTTGAACCTAGAACTCACAGACTCAGCCAGACTGGCTGGCCAGTAAGCCGAATGGGATCTTCTTGTCGCTGCCTTGCCCCTCCAGCACTGGAGTCATAAACATGCTTGACTTATAACTTGGTGTTGGGCGTAGGTAGCAAGTTCTCATGCTCACTGGGTAGACAAATCAAATGAGCCATCTCCCAGGCCCCTGAGTGGATTACACAGACAGAAAACATCTACGTTATATCAATAGTTCTTCCTTTAAAAAAAAAACTGTGTGTGTAGGCACAGGCATGAGCTCTCTGGGTACCGAGTCTAGGCCATCAGACTCACATGCCGAGTGCTTCACCAGCTGACTCATCTTGTAGGGCCTCCCTGCCAGTGTAGAGCGGTAGCCCATCAATGGCAAGATGGCCATCCACCCCCTTTGTTTGATGGACATTCATGTTGTTTCCAGCATTTAATCATGGGCGCAGCTGTCTTGAACATTACAAACAATGTTGACGGGCACTGTTTCCATTTTCCAGTAAATACCTGTCATGTAATTGAGCTGAGTTCTAAGTGTATCTCTGACTCCTGGTCTCTTTCTGAAATGGCTGTGTTATATGACATTCCACCATCAGTGGTGAGAGTTTGTTATCCCATATACTTACCACTTGGAGTTGTCAAAATTGCACATTCTAGCTACCTGTGTAGTGAAGCTCACATTTTTTTTTCCAAGACAGGGTTTCTCGGGTAACAGTCCTGGCAAATTGCTTTGTAGACCAGGGGAATACCAGCACTAAGGGAGGCAGAAGCAGATGGATCTCCTGTGAGCACGAGGCCAGCCTGGTCTACAGAGTGAGTTTCAGGTCAGCTAAGGCTACACAGACAAACCCTGTCTCAAAAAGCCAAAAAGAAAAAAAATTAAATTACCGCTCTGAATATGTATGGTCTATCAGAATATGCTCTGCATTTTCCTGCCAATTTTTGGGTTCCCTTTTTATTTTTCTTAGTTTCTTCCAAATTGCTATAGTTTTAGAATTTGATAAAATACTAGTTATTTACCTTATTAATAACTTAATATAAAGCTGAGCTGTGGTGGCACACCTTTAATCCCAACACTCGTGAGGTAGAGGCAGGCAGATCTCTGGGTTCTATGCCAGCCTGGTCTACAAAGCTACACAGAGAAACCTTGTCTCAACCACCCTCCCCAAAAACTTAATATTACATTTATCTAGTAATTAATTAAAATTAATATTAAATTTACAATTAGATAAAGTAATAAAAGTCAAATCATAATTTCTGCCTCATGTAGCAAATCTTTGCCAAACCGTAAGTCACATTTATATTATTGTTTCTTTTCCCAAATCTTATGCCTTTGGCTCTAGTGTTTAAGCCTGTGAATTATGAGTACCACAAAGCTAAAAGAGGGATAGTTGTGGGAATACTCATTGATTCGTTCAGTAATATTCACTCAGTGCATACACATTGGGTGCAAATTCAAAAGCTAATGGCAGAGCTCACCGTAAGATTATATATAGCTTCGGCGTTCAAGCAACTCTTGGAAGGAAGTAAGGTTTTTATACCTTTCTTTGTCTGTCTATTGACAGGTTTTCTGTGTACAAGAGAAGAAATAAGGTCAACTGCCAGTGGAATTTACAGGTAGCCGCCACATTTGTCTTAGTCCCAACCCAATGAGATGGCTTGCTTTAACTCTGTGTCCAGAGACTCGTTCGTTTTCCTGAAGAGAATGGGAGTGGTGGTGGTGGTGGTGCTTAGCTTGACATACCAAATGTGAAATCAGTGTAATGACCTCCTCCTCCCTCCCCTCCCCCTAGTCTTCTTTTTAGTTTTTCGAGACAGGGTTTCTCTGTGTAGGTCTGGAACTCACTATATAGACCAGGTTAGCTTTGAACTCACAGAGATCTACTTGCCTCTGCTTTCTGTGTGCTGGGATTAAAGGCGTGTGTCACCACTGCCCCAGCTTGTAATGAATGAGCTTCTTCTTAAGATTTATTTCTATTTCATGTGTGTGGGTGTTCTGCCTGAATATACGTAAGTGCACCACGTGGGACACTCCTGCAGAGGTCAGAAGAGGACAATGGTTCCCCTGGAACAGCTATGGGTGCTAGGAACCAAACCGTGGTACCTAGCAAGAGCAGCAAGTGTTCGTAATTGCTCAACACCTCTCCAGGCCTGCCCCTTTTAATTTTTAAGAAAATATTTTTGTGTGTGTCTGTGTAAGTCATGTACATTCCAGTGCCTACAGAGGGTGTTGGATCCCCTGGACCTGGAGTTTCAGGTCGGTGGGAGCTGCCTGGCATGGGTGCTGAGATCTGAACTTGGGTCCTTTGGAAGAGCAGTAAGTACTCTTGATTGTTGAGCTATCTCTCCAGAACCAAGGAACATTTTATTTTTTGAGACAAGATCCATCGTGTAACCATGACTGGCTTAGAACTCAGTATGTAGACAGGCTGGCCTTGACCTTAAAGACATCTGTTTGCCTCTGCCTCCCCAGAGCTGCAATAGAAGATGTCCACCACCATGCCTGGCAGGAGTGACTTCTTTAATTTTTTTCAGGGTTTCTGAAGTTTGGAGACTGTCCTGGAACTAGCTCTCGTAGACCAGGTTGGTCTTACAGAGATCCACCTGCCTTTGCCTCCTGAGGATTAAAGAATTGTGCCACCACTGCCGGCAGGAGGGACTTCTTTTATTTATTTATTGATTTATTTATTTATTTTATTGTTTTTTGACACAGGGTTTCTCTGTATTGTTTTTGGAGGCTGTCCTGGAACTCACTCTAGAGACCAGGCTGGCCTCGAACTTAAGAGATCCACCTGCCTCTGTTTCTGGGGTGCTGGGATTAAAGGTGTACGCCACCAACAACTGGCCAGGAGGAACTTCTTAATGGCGTTCAGTCCTAAGAGCATATAGCAGTGACAAAGAGAAGATCTATTTGCACACAGCTTCAAAGACAACGGTTCAGTTCCATCAGACTGCCTTGCAAATCACTTGTGGAAACATGAGCCATGACTGACTTCTTAAGAATTCACAAAATTTCAACATCTCAGCGAAGACTCTCAGTTTTATAGTATCCACCAGAAATACTTTCTCCTGAGTTTAAAATCTGAGTGCAATTTAGGGTCTAAAACTGGTAAAGGCAAGTCATACAGGAGCCTCCAGGTGATTCTTGAGGTCTAACTTAAACATACCCACTGTTATTCACAATGAAGGGACTATGTATAAGTAACTACAGTCCATTTTCCCCTTGTTGTGTAGTATCTCAGCTCTGTCCATTAATTTGCTTCTTTCTAATTACGTACTCAGTCAAGCAAAACTAAGCACATTTCTTTGTACTGACTATGACTTCCCCTGACTTGGTTTTACATACTTGCCTTCCCGACCAATTCATGTCAGACTATGGGGTTGTGCATACATACTTAGGGGAAAAAAAACGGAAAAGAGAATGCATGCAAAATACATAGCAATATTTGTAAATTTGAAGTTTGCAGACCTAAAGAAATCCCTGGAAGCTCCCATTAGGATTTGCCTTTATTTTTGTTGAGGCTGTAAGCTGCATTTAACTTTAAAGCTCTGAAAGAAATATTCATGATGGGCAAATCCAAGCTGAGAATTGAAATAATAAACATGACCCCCTGGGACCTACCTCACCTGTTAGATTTCCCTTGGAAAACAAAGGACTAGGAATTGGGCTGAACTCCAAAGGGTAAAAATCTGTGACAAGTTACAGGAATCTAGATGGAATTTGAGTGTGGCAGGGGTAACAAAGGATACCTTGAGAGCTAAGGATCCAGAACAGCTGCGTGATACCTATAGGTTAGCCCAGGCTGTGCACCTCACAGGGCTTCTCCTTCATTGTGGGCCTCCCGTCACCAGCAGCTCTTGGTCTTTGCGTGTTCAAAAGTCTCATTTTAGCAAGAACTCTTTGATTGCATGCACATATGGAAGCCGGAAGTCAACACCCATATCCGCTATTGCTCTCCACTCATCTTTTTGAGACTATCTCTCTGAACCTGGCTCGCCGACAGGCCAGACGGGCTAGCCTTTCAGATCTAGGGCAGGGTATCTCTTCATCCTCTCAGCAGTAGAATTAGGTGTGGATGGCATCACCTGGATTTTGTGTGGGTCTGGAGATCCAAATTCAGTCCTCGGACTTTCATCCCAGGCTGACTGAACCATCACTCCAGCCCTCAGTGAACCTTACTTCTTAAAACTGTTTCACTCCTGTGTGGTTCACACACATGGGTGTGCAGATATGTGTCTGTGTGGAAGCCAGAGGGCACTGGCTCACCTTTTACAGTTAGGTGGACACGCCCATCAAATTTCCAGAAGCTACCAGTCTCTGCCATCCAGTGCCGGGGTCACAGGCACAAGTAGCCACACCCAGCTCTTCTACATGGGGGTTGGAAGTTTGAATCTAGTCCCTCAGCTTATCAAGCTTTATTTCTACGAAACCTTTGTACATCTCTATTGGACCAGTTTGGTGACACAAACCTTTTTCACAGTACCTTCTCTCAATTGCAAGCTCTTGATCATGCCTCCCTCCCTCCCCCCCCCTCTAATTTAGTGCAGCTGCCTACTCAGTATCTGTTGAGTGACTAGTAAGCTCAGTGAGCTGCTCCTATTTCAAACACATTCTTGATAAGGAATCTCTTTAAGAAGTGTAGCACATTGTGCTAACGTGTTCTATAATGTGTCACGGCCATCAGATTAAAGACAAACAGCTGGCAGGACCACCCATCTCCAAGGAAGGAGTCTGAAACTGCTATTTTTATTTGCTACCAACATTTTTATTGTAAGAAATACAAAAGGTACGACAAATGTACAAACCACTTTTCTGGTTTTGCTTCAACCAATTCAGCTGGCACACAAGGGAATCCAATGGATAGTGACATTTGAACAATGGTTTTGAAAAGCAACGAATTCAATTACCTGACAATAAATACCTAAATTTGCAGTCTAGCACCCAGTAAGAAATCCAGTTTCCAAAGGAGTATTGATCTGTAACCCTCTTGATTTCCTGCCCATTTCCTCTCCCACTGACACAGAATGAACACTGTAGCCCTCCCTCTCCAGGGAAGTTCCCGGTTAAGAAGCCTGCCTGGAGTCTCCCCCGCCACCCCCAAGCTGCTTTTAAACATGGACTCCTAGTGATGGGAGATTTCACAGGAGTCATGGTCTTCGGATGACACCGATACAACACACACCTCTATTTGCCCATTCTTCTAAGTGGGGGGGACTTGGATAAACTGACCAGATTTCCATCCGCTTCAAAGGAAGGGAGCAAAAGCCTTCAGCTCTGGACCGCGAAGGGCAACCGTAGAGATATCTTTTTATGCTTTTTAAACCTCAGGAGGGCTTCCTGTGTGGAATTGGGTATGTGTATCATTTGAGTGACACAGGTCTACTTGGCCCGTCCTTTAGTTTGCTATATATACCCTAGGATCATTTTTTATGAGGGTTAGTAACCTGAAATAGACAGGGCATCTAGAGAGCATGTATACAGCACGTGGTCCACAGACCTTTCAAAGAAAGGTCCCCAAGTGGACCTGGCCGTCCGACCTGGTAACCCCACCTAGAGGGCAGAGAGAAGAGCAGGAGCAACACCTACACCGAGACTCCCGCCCAGTGCGTCCAAGACTGTGTTCTGGGCACTGACCGCCCACACTGCTTCTTTGACCTGCTGAACCCAAAGCACCAAAACAAAGCATCCTGTAGCCGTATGAGCAAACGGAATGAGAGTAATTATGCACCTTGAGGGAATGTGCCCTGATGTCTGCACCGTGAAATCAAAATAGCAGAATTAGTTTCAAGTATGAAGAAACACAGCGAAAGCAGGGCCTGTAGATGGACAGCATACAGCAGCCTGGGATGTTTTTCACCTAGGACCACAGCCAACAAGGAACACTCTGCATAATGACTGGGTTTAAAGGTCAGGGCGCACAGGAATACGCCAGGGGGCATTTAGGACTGACGTCACGAGTACATTCTGTGCCTGGCATCAGGTATTATCTCTCGATGACTATGGCCAGTCAAAGGCAAAGTGGGGGTGGCGGCTAGGCTTAGGCAAGCATACTTGGTGCCCAAAGTCTTTCTCATCACATGCTTGATGCCCAAAACTCAGCCAAGGAGGTGGAGAGCACCAAAGGGGCAAGTCAGGGTAGGGCAAGGGAGGGAGAGATGCAGGGGTGGGCTGTGCAGTGTGGGGACGCTGGACTTCTGGGGCTGGCTCACACAGCCTAGGTTAGCATCTATTATGTGTATGACCTCTACAAATCTAGGACCGTGATTTCAGTCCAGAAAACCATGTCCAAATGAGGCTTTCTTTTTACCTTTAGACATTTCTATTCTAAGATTAAGTCAAACAAGCTTACTGTGTACAACAGCTTTCCTAAAGCCTAGAAGCAAGTCTTAACCAGTCTGTATGGGAATACAGACACAAAACACACCTTCTGGTGAAAACATACCTACACATCTAGAAATCAACCCTGTAACAGTCCCTACCGCTAACATACACTCCGGGACGTGGCACTGTGACCTGACACACATTCCTCTTCTACACCAAACACTTGCCCATTAACCTTCAGCTCAGACCAGAAACAGCAGAAACACAACAGGCTTTTGAGCTGTTGGGAATTTCTAGTTGTTAAGATCCCAGATAACACTCGATCCGAAGACGGACCGTTTCTGTGTTCAGCAAAGTTGCCTGGAATCTGAAAACACGTTCTGGAGGCCTCAAGGCAGAAGCTGGCAGTTCTGTTTCTACAGACACTCCCCCCACCCCCCCACACTCTGCTCTCTTCTCCACAGCACCCCCCCCCCCACCACACACACTCGGCTCCCTTCTCTACAGTACCGCCTGTTCCCACCACAGCATGGGACACCTACAAGAGAAGCTTTTTTCACAGATGCTCGTTCTGCCTGGCATCCACTTTGCCGGCCACCTGGCACAGAGGCAGTTCCACATTAAGGCAATCTCTACACGCTTCTCTACCTTAGCATTTGCTATAATTACTCTTACACTATACTAAACACACACCTGCCAGGAGCAACAGCTTCAAGGCTGTGGCTTTGCCTCTTTTAACACAACAAGATGCCTAGACACCAAAAAAGGACTACACCTAACCAACTGAAAATTTAATCATGTTAAACTTGATGCAGCTTATTTGGGGTTATCACTGTAATTTTGTCTCCTTAACACCATACCATCAAGACCATGATAATGAGCATTAAACCCGAAGTCCTGATGTCGGCCTTTAGTTGCACCTGACTTCACAGGACTGGTGTGGTTATCAATAAATAATAGGCATGAATAATAGAAATAATTTATGTAAATGTGGAACTTGATAAAAAATTCCCCATCTGCTAAGTGCTGTTCCCAGTACACCATTAATTCCAAGTACTAATATATCTACTACTGTTCATAGGAAAACAATGAATACAGGTAAGAACTGAAGTATACATGAATATACTGCTACACATAGTGAAAAGATACATGATTTGGGGAGTAATGTCAAGAAATGATAGGATCTATTTTAATCACTCAGAGACTTAAGGTCAAACTCAGAGATGCTGGTGAACACAGAAATATAGCTGGCTAATACACATTATTGCATTTTATAGAACTGAAGATTAGAATGCCAACTTGGGGGTAGGGAGACTCTTCTCCTTAGCTCATCAGCAGAATGTGGCTAGATCCCTGCCTGAGTTAGGGACTACAGAACTCTGTGGCCCTGTGCTTGATTAGGGCTAGACATAAGTCTGCCAGTCAATGTGCGGCCACGTGTCTCCTGAAATTAAACAACCCCACATCTGACAGCCTAAACGTGTTGATTATTTGTGTTACCCAACAGTCCACACAGAGCTTCCTCTAAATAGGAAACCCTCCTTCTGTTCCAGGGATAATTAGAGAAGAAAAGAGAAGAAATCGAAACTAAAGAATTACACGCTTTTGCCAAATGAAGCAGAAAACAGTTTTTCAAAATGAAACATCTCCAGGAATAACTTTTTTTTTGCCACCATGTATGTAGCAGGATAGAAAACAGAAAAATAAAAATAGAAATCCCCATTGCAAAACTATACACTGAACACAGGGAAATTAAAACAAACACACGAACAAACAACCAAACTTTTGAGCGTGAGACACCTGGCCTGGGGCTTGCAGAGCAGCATCTATTACGTCTCTACACCTGAGCTAGCAAGTAAACTGTGTTGTGATTACTGATGCTCGGAGGCCAGTCATGTGCTTCTAGGATGCCCGGCTTCCCAAGACGGCGCAACACGAGGCTCTGAGCAGCAGCAGGGCCTCCCGGGCCTCCCACAACATCCTCTGGGCCTGGCTCGGCTGCCCGTCCCTGTCATTCTGCCTAGTGGGTCTCAGCTTCAGCAGCGTCAGAATGACTGCCAAGAGCAGACCCAGGGGAAGCTTGGCCTTTCACTGAGGGGCTTAGCCTGGAATCTCCCTCAGTGAGGGCAGAGGGGTGAAAGCGCCAGGGAGTACTCAGGGCCTTGGCAGTGCCTGGTCTGGATAGCATTTTGATTCAGTGTAAATAACAGAGGCTTGCCTGCCTGCCACTGTGGTGTGAAGTCAAGCAGGTGGTGTGTGCGTGTACGCGCGTGTCTCGGAAGAAATCAACTGCTTTCTGCCATGGTGTGCCACAGAAACTAAAATACTGTCCGTTTATCCCCTCTGAACCACATAATCACTGGCTTGGGGGGGATGGCTCTCTGAGCAGAAAGCTGAGTTAAAAATGTAGTATAAAACTGACTTTGACAGCGGGAAAACCAAAGCCTCGTATAGATTCCATCCTGAGTTGTTTGGTTCATCTATATTTAAACCCAGCATTTAAGAATCGGAGTTGAAGGGTTTACACTCGTGGTTTATCCGATTGGAAAGTCTACCAGTTCTTTCGGAATATGTAGAGCTGTTTCAGCACTGCAGTTCTTTAGAAAAGGTTTTTGTGAACTCAATTACTGGCGTACTACCTATTTTGCTCACTTGAATTTGGAAATGAATCATTGTCAAAGGGCCACCGAGGGTTGAAAGCAGCAGATGGGAGACGGGAGTCCTGACTGGGGCCCCTAAAAGAGCCTTGTGTTTCCAACAAAGCTATCCTCGTCACAGACAAGGGTTGACTTCAGGGAAGTAGCTGGATAGCCAAGAACTGCAGGTAATTTGGGTGCCTCAAAAATGTCCCCTAAGTAACTGTGAAGACATCCCTTTATCTCTTACATGTCCTTCTCAAGCATAATTTAGTCACCCAGAACCTAGCTAAAAAGCAAAATGCATAAGCTGAAGAATAATACAAAGGCTGTTAATTACATGAAGAAACATGCTAGATGGCAGTTAAAGATGTGTGAAAACAAAAGTTGAAGTAGTATCTTTGGAGTACCTCTTTAGCCTTGGTCAGATTTTTCTCCGAGAGCACCACCTTGTGGAACATACTGGAATATAGCAACAAGAAAACCCTCCTCAAATCTTAGGGCCCTGTGAATTTTAATAGACTTCTGCCCCAACCAAATTACCTTCTATTCTCACCATTTGGAATTGTTGTAATAACATTTCTGTAAGCTCTTGAGGAAAAGCCTGCATTTATTCTCAGGTGGCTATTTTCTTGGGGGCCAGACAACAGAGACATGGATATAACTTGCTGAAAACCCTAGCAGAAACATCTGAAAAAGGCAATTCAGTACTCCACTAGGAAAACTCAAAACAGCAAATTGAGGAAAACAGTTAAAAATTGAACTGGGGGGGGGGTGGTACGCAGAGGATGGAGGATCTCTGTGAGTTCGAGGCCATCCTGGTCTACAGACAGATTTCCAGGGCAGCCAGGGCCACACAAAGAAGTGCTGTCTTGAAAAATAAAGAAACAAAACAACAAAAATTAAACCCCTCTCTTTCAGAAGACAGTAGGGCAGGTTATTCCTAAAACAACAACAACAACAAAACCAAAAGCCAAACCAAATTAGCTTGAGATGTGCAAACCAGCACTTGGGAGAGGCACGAGGCTGTAGGTACCAGGCCAGCCCGGCTTGTATAACTAGACAGGAAGCTGCTTGAAGACGAAGGTGCTGTGTTCGCATGCATTTGAGGGACCTCTACTACTAATCATTCCGGGACTCACACCCTACACCAGGGTTTGGTAGCACAAGGCTCTCCCATTGCGGAGAATGAACACAGGAACACCTCCTTCACTGTGTACCCAGATGTAAGGATAAAGGATTTTTGGATAAGGCTTATAGTTGTCCACTCTCGTCGGCACAGGAGGTAAATGCCACTTAAACTCTCATATTTATAGTGGATATTCTTAGGCACGTATATACAGTGAGTACAGCTTCAGACGGCTGCTTTCTTCCTATGAAACGAGGAAAGAATGCCAGGGTTTCTGTGCGTCTCCACGAAATTTGTGATTTTCTGACACGCCAAGCCCGTGTTAGATGACGTCTTCAGGTTTTCCTTAGAATACACTTAAAGGCAAATGTGTCTCATTCAAAAAATGTATGTAAGCTTGAAAACACATGTTGAGTAGCCTGTGTTTGTTCCCACTATTTTGTAATTTTTAAAGGTTTTAAAAATCATACTGCGGTGTAAGGCATGCGCTCTTCGGCAGGCTGTCGATCTGTCACAGTGGTAAGGAGCCTTAGTGCTATTCTTACTGGACCCAACTGTGTAAGAAAAGCGTGCGTGCTTTCAGAAAATGTGAGTCACTTGGTGCTTATCAAAAATAGTCAGCTGGGTTGGTGGCTTTATGCCTTTAGTCCCCACAAGCAGGAGACAGAGGCAAGCGAAGCTACTTGAATTCGAGGCCAGCCTGGTCTATAATGTGAGTTACGGGACAGCTATGGCTACACAGAGAAACCCTGTCAGGGAAGAGGGTGGATATTAAGGTTCTCTCTAGAGGAGCAGTTTTTTGGACAGAAGACTCAGTACAAGCATGATGTTAGAAAGTTTACATGATTTAACTCCCACAATGAGAATGGCTGAAACTGACTTTAGCAGGCACAAAGAGAAGTGGCTTAAAAAACAATGTCAGGACACACCTTAAAGTTCACACTGTTCGGTACTGTTGACTTTCTCAAACAAGTTGGCTAGCTAGCATCCCCTCTCACCCCCCGAATTAGAGGGAAGCACTGTGTTTGAGATAGCAACACCCAGAATTTCCATTTTCACTAAAAACGACCATGTGGAGACTCAGTTTTTAAGTGAGGACTTCTGAGCTGCTTTTAGTAAACCACCTGGGGCTAAATTCAAATCTGCTATTCCTTGAGTGGGTCCTGAGAAAAAATCGTGAGAAACTGGGGGCAGAAATGGTCCCAAGCTAATTAAACAGTTTCTCCGTTGCTTGAGCGCCCATCTTCTTCAAAAAGGGACAAAGTGGGAGGTTGCAGCCCACTGGGTGCTCACGAACTGTGTTTCTAAGGGCGGGTGTGGCGGCGAGGCCACAAGGTAGCTTGTGAGCCTATGGGGACTACTTGGAAAATCTCCCTTTGTGTTTCTGAAGAGGATGTTACAACTCCATCAGTCCCGAAATCCTAGGACCCTTGGAACCAAATCCTGAAGAGAAGCAAACAGGCACATTCTTGCACTATTCCTACTGTGATTTCAAACCCGCTTTTCCTAACTAAAAGCTGTTTCAGCAGAACCCTGGGGCAGCAGGATCTTCTCAGTGACAAAGGTGTGTGAAACCATCGGCCACAGACGGTGAGCCCTACTCACCATGCCTTTATTCTTTATGATTCCATGTGCTACCAAGGGCCTGCACACCACGGCTCCTTGTATGGAAACTGGGTTTCAGAAGCATGAGCTTGATGGAGAGACATACATCCAGAGATCAACTCCATGAACTAAGAGCCGGGACAGCATTGTGAAGGCCAGAGAGAGGCTGGATGCCTTTCTGCACCACCCTGGCACAATATGCCAAGTTTCTAATACCAAAATGCTTGTGATTTAAAAACACTACTGATAGCAGGGTGGTGGTGGCACACACCTTTAGTCCCAGCACTCAGGAGGCAGAAGCAGGCAGATCTCTTTGAATTCAAGGACAGCCTAGTCTACATGAGTTCCAGGACAGCCAGGGCTACACAGAGAAACCCTGTCACAAAACCCTCAAAAAATTACCCCCAGAAACAGAAAAACAAAAAGCAGAAAAACAACCAAAATAACAAAAAACCCCAAAAAGGCCTACTTAGAAATAAACCCAAAACAGATGACAATAATGAAGTTTGAACTTCATTATTCTGAAGAATACCAAAAGATTCCAGTTTAAGACAGCTGTATTTTCCTTGAACAAAGTTATGGGGGAGGAGGGACCACCTTTTTCCTTTTTCAAAAGCAAAGCCCTCAAATTTCTTTTCATTTTATCACATGGATGCTAATCTAAAACGGAGTAGGCCAGGCCCCGATGAAGTGAGTTTTATGTTCGATTTCTAGGCGCCAGCAAAAGCCTGCATGTTGAACCTCGTTCAAAGGCAAGGCAGAACTCACTGTCCCGGTGAGACCCTCGGGAGACTTTGTCCACTGCTCTGAGCCTACCTGGAGCCTTGACAGCGACAGCAACACATCCAGTGCTGTTATGATGAAGTGCACAATGGAACATTCTCACAGCCTAGCTTTCTTTTTCAATCTCGCTTTTGAAAAAGACATCTGTTTCTCAAGATACTGAATCAGAAGACTGTAAAAAGTGTATTAAAAGAAAAGAATGACTCCCAACCTCCAAAGCTCTCAGGAAGGGCATCTACCTCTCCTCTATTCAAGATAATCACATGTACTATTTCTTCAGCTACAAAGACATCAGTAAGGCTTCAGAACACATCTGAAACCTGCCCTACTGTGTGAAACACCATCCACTCTTTCCAAGTTCTACACTGAAACATGAGCTAGCTTCTACTTACATGCACTCCAAACAAACACGGTTCAAAACACAGCTAACCTCCCCCCAAGGCTGCTTTCTACGCCTTCTAATTACTAGTGCACTAAACCCGAGGGTAAGGCAAAAGTGGCATTGGATATGAAGGACTCAGAGAGAATAGCTAGGTACAGTTGTTTATAACGCCCAAGACAGGCTGGCTCCGCAGAAAGCAGGATCGAGCACGAGGCACTAGAAAAAGAACACCCTGGGGATGGACAGCGCCATCCCTTTAGGGGGTGGTTATCTCTAAAAAAGAGGAAAAGACATCCACCCGCCCCAGACACACACTGACAATATATACTCTATAAACACGTAAAACACTGAGTGACAGCTGATAGCAATCTAGATGCCGGTGACACACAGAACCAGTGTTCCACCCTGCCTAAGTGACCTCACTGGTGTCAGGCAGGAAGACTACACTAAGAAGGTATAGGGGACCCTGTTAGGATTGCAGAATTGGAGCCCTAAGCCGTAAGCAAGGCCATCTGCAAACGTTCAGTGAGAGGCGGCAGGCAGGCAGGTGTGCTATGTGGGGCAGGTAGGCAATCTGTTAGGTAGGAATATGTGTTAAGAGGCGTGGTGATGCAGAAGGCCTGCACTCCACAAACAAGGCAGACCACGGCAAATGCGTGGTGCAAAGTACGGGGTCGGAGGTGGAGAAACTAAATGGACTTCCTGTCTTGTCAGAACCACCTCCAAATCAGAGCAGGAAGCAAGTCCCTAAAACAAAGAACAAAATAACAAGAGACAAAGGAAATAGTAACATTGCAAACCAGAAAATATAGGCTTTCTCTATTTTTAAGACCTATTTGAGGTACACTCCCTAAATCTATTGCAAGTACTAAAATGCTTATAGGGCCTTTCCCAAAAGAAACAAGTATTGTACTATATGTAGGACTCAGAACAAGTAAATTCAGCTTTCCCAAGAGCAAACAGAAGAACGCATGCTTACAGAAGGTCTTAAAAGATACGAGGGCTTTTCTCCCCTTTTCTTTCTCATTTTTTTTTTGTGGTGTCTAAAACTGTATCATTTACTGCTAGCAAAAGCTTTTGGATAGAAAGGAAATGCTAAGGACACAGGCTCACCTTTCTAACTGGAGCAGACTACACTGGTGAATCACCGTCACGGAACAAGCCTTGTTCCTGTCAGTCACCTTAGTCGTTACAAGTCAATTATTCCTGTTGTCTACAGAAAGTAACACTTCACGAGATCAGGGATCTCTCTCACACACTCACAAGTACCAAAGCAGGCCCAGCAGCTGCAGAGATTGCACCCTCACTCAGCTGGGCCTGCATTACCATCCAACACTGGCAGCATTCAAGGTTAGAAAATGAAATGGCAGCAAAATTGGTCAGCAGCTTCTCTTCTTCTGGAAGTTTTCCAGGTTCTTGAAACAGACAGACAGACAGTCAGACAGACAGACAAGTGAACGAACATAAAGCTGCAATCGCTCTTGCATTGATTTCTGAACTTTAAGTCAACTAGGTGGTTTCCTTGGTGACGCAGAGCGTATCAAGAAGGCAGCGGCTGGAAGGCCCATAGCCAGCAGCCTTCAACTGCTCTGCAAGGCTTGCTTAGGGGACTCGTCAGCCACCGCGTTCAGATGACCAGCTCATGGCCTCCCCGGGGAACCTCAGGCTGTGTTCAGCTCTGAGGAGCTCTGGCTGGATGACAGGTGGGAGTGAAGGTTGTCCTTGTACCTCTCCAGGTCTTGGAAGTACGGGTGACTCAGGGCGCCATAGGCAGATATTCTTTTAGCCGGATTAAATGTCAAGCATTTCTGCAATAAAGAAAACATTTCATCGGAAACATACCACGGTAAGTAATGTGCTTGTACATCGGAACTTGGGGGAAGTCTTGGAAAAGGTGGCCTCTAAACTTTCTGTTCTGCTTTAGGAACAAAGTCACCAGCATGAGAATGAACTAAAACACCTTGAACAATAAACACTGCTTCTGTTAAAAAGATTTAATTTGATTGCTAAATGACTGACTTAAAACTTACCTTGTAGAACCACAGCTTTTTCAAGGGTTGAACACTCTGGGGGACTGGCAGGAATGACCGCTAGCTGACCTAGGCCCTCAGGGATATCAGCGTTTCTCCTGGGAGCAGCTACCTGCTTCCGTGAGAAAAACATGGCGGGAACCTGCTGCCTCTCTGGTTTGGGTGGCAGAACGAAACACATACATGGAGAAGAGCAGGTTTTGACCCACAGTCTGAATCAGGTAATAAGGGCTCTTAACTCAGGAAGTTAAGAATAGACAGGTCTCGACTACACGTGATGCTGTTTGTCATACACTCTCAGTGGGCACAGGCCAATTGTATCCCGGGAACTTACCAGAAGTAGATCTTTGCCTAGTTCGTCAATATCCGTCACGAACTTCTCGATGGGCTGGGCAGATTTGGAGTGAAAAGCCTGCCTGGGAAGGGCAACATCCCTGGGCCAGTCTTCTTCTCCCGGAAGTCCAATCACACTAGAGAAGAACCAGATGTGAATGTGAACTCTGGAAGTCACGTAAAGGGCGTCCTCACCAAATCCCAGAGCGGGCAAACATCACAGGGCAGGCACAGTGGACAGGAGCTCCATGAGAACCTCACCTCGTGACGGAAAGGATTTCTCATTTACGCTCCTGCCAATCTCAGAAGACACCACAAAGTTCACTGACAAGAAGCACGCAATGTCCCTGGCATCAGACACTAACGGAAGGTGTGTGGATGGGACCTGTGCAGCCAGGCGTAAGTCCTGGTGTGGTGGTGAGGAGGCAGGGCCTGCTGTTCTGAGACAGCCACCTGGATCTCCAGCGTCCTCTTCTACGCCCGACGAAGCTTTGCGTTTGGATGGAACAGCTCTGTGAAGACATGCTTTCACGGCGCCCATCCAGCTTATTAATGCACTGCTTTGGCCAAGTTTTTAAATTGAGGAGTAATTTTCTAAACGATTACATAAATTAGACTAAAAATAAGGTTAAAAAGTGTATCAGTCCTATCTTATGCAAGCACCATTCAGTGGTATTCCGAAGTGAGACACAGTCAATGAAAAGGGTGTCATTTAGGTTTCCTACGGCAACCGTTCTGGGATCAGAGACGCAGAGGGAGCAGGAAGCCCTAAGAAAAGCACAGGCAGATGTGGCTTAGAATCCAGCACCTGCTCTTAACTGTCACGTAAGGACAAATGACATGACAACCACGAGCTTTGGTGTCTTTATGTATGGGACAGTGGTAATTTATGGTTATACGAGGGTTGGCGGTTAATTTATTGAAACTGCCTACTACGGTGCCAATATCCATTTGTTACTTATTACTGGTGGGTTGTAGCCCCATGTAATTTATTCACATGCAGTATTATTTCTAGTTTATAGGTGGTAAGCGTATTTGGACAGTATACAGACTCCGAGTAACTCTGAACTGAACACCAAAAAGATAATTTAGTGGACAGCACTAAATTTAGTTGCTGATACTGATCCAAACTATTTTAACTCTAGTTAGAAATGATACTGGCTTGCATCAAAGTCCCGTTCTTACTTCCTGCAGCACAGGACCAGGCAGTGTGGCCACAGACATCTTTCAGGAAGATGTGTGGTAAGGGTCACACGACCTACAGGGCTTTGTCACTGTTCCCTTCGCAGGTCACAGACCTCCCCGGGAAGGGCGGATTCCCCATGGCCAGTGCACATGTCACCAGGTAGGGAGACAAGACACTAACTGTCCCCTCTAGGCCCTGGCAGAGAGCCACATAAAGGCAGACTCACGGACATACTGGAATCAACTGGCAAAAGCACAACTTCAGCATCGCACAAGTGTGTTCAACAGCAGGGGCTACAGTGTGAGCAGTGACGGGGTAAAGAGCATCACGTGACTACGGAAGGATTCACAGGGATGTGCGGGCAGCGGAGGAAAAGAACGCTCAGCATACACAGTTTGAAACTTCCGCCTCCTCCCAGCCCGTTCACAACAGGACTTTTGTACATCATCGTCAGCTACCTAGAGATGGACTACACTGATGCTTAGAAATTAAATTACTTTACTGGCTGCGTTTTTAGAAAAGTTTGTTTATCTGTATTTTATGTACATTGGTGTTTTGCCCAATTATACGCCTGTGTAAGGTGATCGGATCCCCTGGAACAGGAGTTACAGACAGTCGTGAGCTGCCATGTGGTTGCTGGGAATAGAAGCCGGGTCCTCTGGAAGGGCAGCCAGTGCTCTTAACCACTGAGCCGTCCCTCCAGCCCTTGGCAGCATTTTTTTAATGACAGTGTTTCACTGTGCAGCCCAGGCTGGCCTCCAACTCACAACCCTCCTGTATCAGCCTCCTGAGTATTACTAGCAGCTTTGAACATACCTGTAGATTTGAAATCTTACGAATACAGCAGAGACCAAAAACATTCAGGGAAACCCTATGCCTGTCTGCAAGATATGCAGACACATTTAACTACACATAAAGCATGTATATATAAGCATACATACACATATAGGAGAATGCCTGGTAAGGCCACACACTCAGGACTCCTTACTCTATATCTCAGGCCACACACTCAGGACTCCTTACTCTATATCTCGTACCATACTTCTATTTAGCTAGGCCACCATTCTTAGAAGATGCCCTAAATGTGTGGCCTAACACACTTCTGAAGCACTCGATGTTCTCAGAAAACAGAAATCTGTCTACAGCTTACCTTATTAAGAGTATGAGAATACAACTTTCCTTAAAAAAAAAATCAGCTTCGTGTGCAGTAAGGACTGTCACGGTCCATAAGGAGCATGATCAGACTGTGACGCGCTCACTAGAAAAGGCTTGCGTCGTGTTTCGCTGTTTGGACAGGTGAACAGAAGCTCTGAAAGTTTACATTTACACTGGGAAGACTGAGGGGCACAGAACCTATAAACGGTTGTGGTGGATGGGGTAGAAATAACTTCAAGTAGTTCAGCAGTGACACTAGGGTGCAGCATTGTCCCTTTTCTGTTGAAAGGACCATTCAGGAGAATGAAGCAAAACCAGAAGTAAAATCTAAAGGCATAAAACATACAAGGCTTTGCGGCTGCCTTTCTGCTAGCCACGGGGGAGTGCCAGGCCTTGGCTAAAAGTCAACTAGGCTTTCCCACGGGACAAGCCAAATGTCCCTTTTGGCCCAGTGCACTGGGCCTGTGGTCTAAGAGCACATGCAGTGCTACAGGTCTGTAGGCTGCCTTGGGGGGGGGGGGGCAGGAATCCCAGGAGGAGTAAGAGAGGGAGGGCAGGCGATGACCTCCAGGGCCCAGCAGGCGGATGCCACCAAGACTGCCTTTCCTTCCAAAGGTGAATACTAGAACGTTACTTCCCTGGGTGCCCCCTTGAAGATCACATGCACACAGGACACATTCCACAGCCCCAGGGGGAAAACACGAGTCCACCAGGGAACGAGAGGAGCTTGCCATGCAAAGACAGGGTAACAGAAGGGGTTGGTGGAGAACGCATCCATTTTACAGGACTGTCAGGAGACGTGGTACTGGTGGGGGCCCAGGACCTGGGAAGTCCCCAGACCAGACCAGACCAGACCAGACCAACAAAACAAAGTAACTACCCAACACGAGCCAAAGCCAGCCAGTGTTCTTTCAGCTTCAAAGCAGGGGCAGCTCCCAGTTCCCCAAAGAACCGAGTCAGTAGCTTTGGGGTGAATTCCATGTTTAAAGCAATCATACTCAAGTAAATAATTCCATAGGGGCATTGTGTGTGTGTGTGTGTGTGTGTGTTTTTTGCGCATGTGTGTGTGTGTGAAGAGTCTTATAGATTTGAAATCCATAAAAATGACTTGAAATTCACAAAAATGTCGCCAATGATGGTGGTGATTTTTAGCAGGGATCCCCACACACTTCCCAGCCCACCTCACTTGGGGTGGGGCTTGGCAAAAACACACTTCCTAAAAGGATACCACCCAGCATGCCTCGTGGAAGAAAGGTCCAGGTACATTCAGGGACACGAAAGCATGCAACAACCACACACACACACACACACACACACACACACACACACACACACACACACACACACATACACACACACACACACACACACACACACACGCCCGTGCGCAGGCATGAATGAAGTTTGCAAATCACCCCCGGGCGATGGAGAGGACAACCGGAAGCAGCGAGCGAGCGGGAGAACAGAACGCATGGAGAACCTGAAGTCATTGCATCCCTCAGGTGAAAAACTTCAAAGAAAAAGGGTTAAATCAGCAACCAGAGGCGGGCACAGTGCAGTAAATGCACTCTAGGGGGTCTCTTCGTGCAACTTCTCACTTACAGGTTTATGCAGCCACAGGCTAAGATGAGAACCTAGGACTCTCATTCCCTGTTTTGGTGTTCTGAGGGGAAATGTGGCCGAGCACCATGTTTGTCCTTGGCTTGGGAATGCAATGTAAAACCAACAAGAATGATCTGGGACTCTCAATGAGAACAGGATGCCTAGCTAGACAGGCTGGGATCCCACCAAGTGTCCCGTCTCTCGTGGGAGGTAAACTTGATGTGACCATCTGCACTATGGAGCTGGCGCTGAGAGCTCAGCCAAGCATGGAGGAGCAGCAGAACCCACCCAGGCAACACACAAGCATCCAGAGCACAGCAGGCTACACATCATGACCGGCCCTGTGTGACATAGCTCCTGTGTCCCCACTCACCACACCAGCTAGTCAGACTGCAGCTGCAGCCTGAGGCAAGAGAGACAAGAGAGAGACAAGAACGTCAGAGGAAAGTCACTGCAAATGTTTTGTGTGACGCAAGACTAGCATTGTTACTTACTCCAAGATTTTTCCTAGTTGATCCACATCTGAACTTCCACGAAAAAGAGGCCTAGAAGAATAAAGACACATCTTAAGAGCAGGCATTTTGTGAAGTCACATTCCAATCACTGTCGTTACCACTGTTCAGCAGAAAGCCAAAGACGCCGTACTGGTGGGAGGAAGAAGTGTGACCGCCCCTCTCTGGTCAAGGAAGGCTTTCCATGCATTTCTCCTGCGACAGTGACACTCTTGGTGGCTGTCGACTTCCATGACCATGTATTCTGCTTGCTGCCATTGCAACCACAAAGCTATCGTGGTCTACAGGCCCAGGTTTTAAAGGTCAGTTTAACTGGCCAGCAGGGTGGAGCCCACCTTGGTGAGAGCTTCTACTGAAGGTGTGTGGGGTCCCGAGGCTGTCCTCAGAGGGCCCGTCACACCACACCACTTGGGTACTTCTTTCTGGGCCTCTCTCCTGGATCCTGTAGCACGCCACTGTTGGGTCTCTTAATTATTCCTCTTTCCTTTCTCTTACTTTTATAGCTGCTAACCATCACATGCTCAAAAATCTTAGCTCTGGGCCTCAGAGGCAACTGTGTCCCCCTCTGAACTCAAAGCTTTCCTTATCTACAGCAACCATTTCACTGGCACTGAAATAAGCTCCCTTTGTGACATTTCTGGTGTTTTCCCAAGTAGACCAAATAGTCCTTTGAGGGTGGGGATGTCTCTAGGTTTCCCCATAAGTCTGTCCTAACACTTTCCCCTAATTGACACACACTTATTGAATATATTTTGTTGTTGTTTATGCCCACAAATCTTCCTCAACTCCTTGTTCAGTGAATGGCATAAACAGCTGTTTTTCCCTTTTAATTTTTTTTTGTCAGAGCCTTATTGCAAAGCCCACTCTGGCCTGGAATTCATTACCACTCAAGGTAGCCTCAAACCCACCAGCCTGCTGCCTCAGCTTCTCCATGTCAAATCACTACAACTGGCTCTATCAACCTTCTTAAAAGTATTTATAGGTCATTATCAAGAACCGTATGCCTTATCATATTAGATAACAAATTAACAATTATAGTGTGTGTGTGTGTTGTTGTTAACTGGCTACAAACCAAGGGCCACACATATAGAAAGTGAGTGTTCTATTACCGAGGCAGCTACCTTCCTAGCCCTTCCACAAGTCTCAAAAATAGCAAAGCAAAAAGTGAAAAAGTGCCATAAAACTAAAAAACAAACAAACAAAAATTCTAAAGGAAAAACAACCCGAAAAATTATGGACTCTTAGCAGCTATCTTTTATAGAGTGTAAATGTTGTATCTAGCACATCTCCAAGGGTTCCCCAAACAGGGTACCATTGTTTCTCACAAAAACTCCAGGAGCAATGAAGCATTACCATCATCACTACAGACGAGGACACAGGATCAACAGTCGGTACGTGACACGACTTAATCAATGCCTAAAGAATTGCAGACCTGGAACTCAAACCAGGTCTGCTTTGCCCCCAAGCCTGCGCTGTGTATCTTACAGTTGTGTTGAAACGCATTTATTTTCATTACTAATGTTCTCTTAGCTCAGTTCTCTGTAGCTGAAGTCACTGGGGAGACACAGCATGGGACTCTGGGAAGGGGTACTTCAGAGTCCTTGTGTTTCACATGCTAGTGCTGTGGGGATCCTGTAATGAGACTGTTTCCCGAATGTCTGTGAGCCTTTAAATTGTGTTCTACTTCAACGAGGAAGAAAGCGACCCACCCGCTTATCCGGGCTGCGTCCTCTGTGCACTCACTCGCGGGTGGTGCTATGGTCTGAGTGCGCATGTCAGGCACACTATGAAGAGGTGGGACTCTGTCTCTACGAGTGGGATTGGAGGTTTCAGAAGTAGTCTCCACGAGTGGGATTAGAGGTTTCAGAAGTGGAGAGATGTGCCCTGCCCCTTCTGCCTTGTGAGGAGGCAGCAAGAAGCTGGTGTTTTGGAAGCAGGCAACCTTCACTAGACACAGGACCCCCTGGCGTCTTCATTTTAGTTTTCCCACTTTAAAGAACCACACACAACATAACACTTCGGTTGTTTATAAGATGCTACACAGTCTAAGGGGTCATTTACAGTTATCTAATAGACTAAGGCAATGATCCTTTTGGATCCTTAAGACTCTGCTCCTAGGCCCAATCTTTTTGCTCATATTAAATTTTTATCTTCCAGCTGGGCGTTGGTGGCACACACCTTTAATCCCAGCACTCAGGAGGCAGAGGCAGAGGCAGGTGGATCTCTGTGAGTTCGAGGCCAGCCTGGTCTACAGAGCGAGTTCCAGGGCAGCCTCCAAAACAATACAGAGAAACCCTGTCTCGAAAAACCAAACAAACAAAAAAATTATCTTCCAAAGTACCAAATACACATACTTTAGAAACAATATTTCCCTTTCTTTTCACTCAGATGTTTGCTCAATTATCAGAGGAAACTATAAAGGCAAAGTCGAAATGACATTCTGATGTGTAGGAATATATAACTGACCCTCCCTACTATTAAACATGTTTAAAAGGCTTGAGGGACAGGGATACCAGGCTAACCAAGTTTATATACAGAGCAAGGAGTATCGGTTAACCCAGTGAGCTGACTATGTGTCTATGTAACCGTGACAGTTGTATGACATCTCATGAACATGGTGGCAACAGAAATTTCTTTTGAGTATCACAGAATGGCTTAATATCAATACTCTGGCCACAGCTATAGAGAAACAAGCAAATAGGCCATCTTTAATGGATCCTTCTCCTTGTTCTGGGGTACGTGTCTTAGTATATTCAGGCAGCTACAACAGAACCATGAACCAGAGAAGGGTCATAGAAACGGCAGAAACGGATCACTCTCAGTTTGAGAGGATGGGAAGTCGGGGTGGGGGTGGGGTGGGGGGAGGGGGATCCACGTTCTGCTCTGTAAAATGGCATGGTTGCCTTCTCGATTCCTTGAGACCCAGAGGAAAGAGAAGGCACCTCTCCGACCAGCCTCCTGACCTAGGGGCCTACTCTGAAGGTAAGACGTTTTTAGCACACAGGTCTTGGCACGGAAACGCAGCCCCGTACTCAGCTATGCAGGGGCTCAAGCCCTTACCACTTGGGTTTTTGACTCTCTTCTATCCTGGAAAAGTTTTCCATGACATCTTTGGTTTTTCGAGACAGGGTTTCTCTGTGGCTTTGGAGGCTGTCCTGGAACTCGCTTGGTAGTCCAGGCTGGTCTCGAACTCACAGAGATCCGCCTGCCTCTGCCTCCCGAGTGCTAGGATTAAAGGCATGCGCCACCAACGCCCGGCTCCATGACATCTTTGAACAGAAGTCCATCATACCGCTGGGTGCTCCAGCAGAGGAGGCCCAGGCCCATCTCCTCTGCTATCGGTTTTATCTCTACTTTTTGGCTGGACTTGGCCTACAGGATGGAACGGGCTCTGCCATCTTTCAATCAGCTCTTGGGCTTTAGGTACAGCCTTTGTTCTGGGAACACTCAGATGATGCCCTCTGTGGAGAGTGAAATCTCTGACCCGCAATTCAGGGTACAGGTCAGAATGGGTGTCGCCGCCCTGGGGAAACTTGGTGTGTGACTCTGCTTTGCAGCAGTTATGGTTTGGCTTGGGTTACACAGAGCCACTGAGCTATGACTGTATGCAGTAAAATGTCAGCTGCCAGTACACAGATACATAGACAACAGACAATGAAAATGGGTCACATGGTAGGGGAAGATGCTAAGAAGCCGACTACAAGTGTGATGAAAAATTTAGCGAGCGCAGTCTGATTTCTAGCAGAAAATTCTGAGCAGTTCATATGAGCTGGCTGAAGTCTACAGGAGGTAACTTGCACACACGAGGAGAATGGCGGAGTGCAAGGGATCAAGAACAAGAATAAATGCTTTCATCACGGGGTGGAGCGACGGCTCAGTGGCTGCTCTTCCAGCGGACCCTGGTTCAATTCCCAGCACCCACACGACAGCTCACAGTTCTCTGTAACTCCAGTTCCAGGGGACCCGACACCCTCACACAGACACACATGAAGGCCAGACACCAATGCACATAAAATAAAAATCTTACAACAACAACAAAAAGCTTTTATCATGTAGGAGAGCTACAGAGAACTCGGGACATGATCTGTCTTTGATGTTCTTAAATCTAAAATGATCTCAAGGGCAAGTCTATGCATTCTGAGGAGACAAGGGACGCAGGTTGACTGAGGTCAGAGAGTCTCTCTCTCTCTCTCTCTCTCTCTCTCTCTCTCTCTCTCTCTCTCTCTCTCTCTCTCTCTCTCTCTCTCTCTCTGTCTCTCCCTCCCTCCCTGCTTGTCACCACCAACGGCACTGTATCTGTGTCCAGCCTCAAGGGACAGAGATTGACTTTAGATTAAGATTTTTTGTTTAGTGGTTTTTGGGGGAGAAATGAGGCGAACTTGGTTGGATCTTTATTGCTGACATAGAACTGAGCCGGGAAGAGTCGAGCAGAGGGCTGCAGAAGCAAACATGTAGGACGACAGAAAGAAGCAGAGGCGGCAAAGCACAGACAAACCAAACGAGGCTGGCCCACGTGGGGAGAGATCTACCTGCTTGTGACCACACCCAAATGGGCGTGGCCAATGCTATGGGTACCTAGATCTCTCCCTAGTACCTCAAATTCAATTTCACCCCGCTGCCTGAAGACAACCCTGTCTGTCCCAGAATTTCCAAGATGCCTTAGAGAGGCCCCACATGAGGAATGAAGATGGACATGAGTGCTCAATGGTACCCAATGGGACACAGGTGCACTAAGGGAAGAAAATGACATACATCTTCTTTTTTAAAGGAACCACAAAGCAAAACCATTTTGTCTTCTTTTTCTTCTGGGTCACATACCCGCTAATTCTGTAAAATTTATTATTTAAAGATGAAAATCAACAACAGAGATATTTCTGTTGAAAGTAGCAAATCTGAAGACTGGCTTTTTAAAAATTTACAAATATATTTCTTTCATACATTTTTTTTCTTGTTAGCTAATGAAAAGCAAAGACAAATACTTTATAAGACTAACATATGAGAAAAAATCATTTTTTATTACATAGGACATTACC